TGGGTGGCATCTGTGGTGACCTGTGATAGTGACAACTGCTCCTGCAGGAGCCAAAGGGCAGGTCTCTGGCTTCTTGGGGCTGGGCTCTCACAACACAGGGCCACAGCCAAAATATACATGCAGGGGCAAGGCAGATGCGCTGTGGACCCAGCGCTGGAGAAGGGGGACCTGTTTAGCAAACAGCAGCTGAGGCAAACCGTTGTTCTTCCTTCTGCAGTCTGCCTCCTCCTCTGTATTGTGGCTGCCGTATCTATTTTTGGGTTGTGTGAAAATGCTGGGCCTGCCTGCTCCTTCCCTGGTGGGGCAGTAGCAGCTGGCACCTGACTGCTCAGGGACCAAAGCCTGTGGGATTCCACGTAGACTCCAGCAGTGGCTCTACACAGTCTCCAGGCAGCTCTGTGTATTAGACTGGAGGCCTGAGGGGCCAAGAGGGCTCGGCTCCCTGCGGCTAGGATTGTAAAAGTTCACAGTGGAAATGTGGAGCCCCAGGGGTCTCTCACTCACTCACACCTTCCCCACATTAGGGAGCTTCTTCCAGCTCCACACCTGACCTGGTTCAGCCGGCTGCCCGGCTTTGCTCTCCTCTGCTTTCCATGACTCCATTGCTTCTCTAATGAATTCCAGCCTGCCCTCTTAGATGATATGATTGAATTGTTCATTTTTACTTGCTACTTTGATTACTCTCTATGAGAGAGGCGTCCGCTAGCTGCTTCTAATCAGCCAGCTTGAACCGCAACCTCAGTGTTACTGTTTTGTATCACTATTTCTGTGTTTTTATTTCATTTTAGATACTTTTCCTCCACAAAGTTATATTACAAGAATCCTTGAGATTGGAAGCTAGTCCCGCTTATCCCCCTGTTGGCAGTGGCTCTGAGTTCTGTCTCATATACATTAAATTTGTGGAGGCTTACTGAATCAGAAGATATATGCAGGTGTGTGCACATATGGGTATGTGTGTAAATCAGAAAGCATGTGTGACACTTTTTTTAAATGATTCTGAGAGCCCTTCTCTACCCTATTTGTAAACTTTTCCAGAAGAGGTTACTGTATACCTGCATATATCATATATCTTCCATCAATAACTTTTTGTTGTTTTTTTGAGACAGTCTTGCTCTGTTGCCCAGGCTGGGTGCGATGTCGGCCCACTGCAGCCTTTGCCCCGTGGGTTCAAGCGATTCTCCTGCCCCAGCCTTCCAAGTAGGTGGGATTACAGGTACTCACCACCACACTTAGCTAATTTTTTATGTTTAGTGGAGACAGGGTTTCACTATGTTGGCCAGGCTAGTCTCGGACTCCTGAACTCAAGTGATCCACCCAGCTCAGCCTCCCAAAGTGCTGGGATTACAGGTGGGAGCCACCATAAGTCTTCACTGGTAAGCAAAACTTCCATAGACTATCCAGCCTTCTTCATGCTATAGCTTTATGATGTAAAATATTTATACCCTTTCATGTATAACAGATTTTCTCACTTCCAACATTTTGGGTTGGGTAATTCTTTGTTGTGGGGCTGTCTGATGCACAGCAGCATGTTCAGCAGGATCCCTGGCCTCTCCCCATTAAATGCTCCCAGCACCCCTTACCTCAGTTATTATGATATGCAGAAATCTCTCTAGACATTGCCAGAAGTCTGAGGGGCAGAACTGTGTTGAGAACCACTGATGTGTGGGGATAATATTAAGAAACATAGTTTATTACAACAGATTCCTAAATCAATAAGTAGGTTAGCTGAGATAAAATTATTAAAAAAAGAATTTATTTGTGAAGTTAAATTGAATTTAATATCATAGTTGTAGTGTGTATGACCAAGTGTGAGACTTGATTCTTCCTTCAGCAGCTCTGATGATACCCGCATCATCTTTTCTGTCTCCATGTCCTAGTTCAGGCCTTTATTCCTTCCTGGACTCCTGAAAAAGCTGTGTCACCTTGAGCAAATTACTTAATCTCAGTGTCTTAGTTTCTTCATCTATTAAGAAAAAGGGTGTTAGTAATAGTACCTCTATCTCAAAGGGTTTTTGTGGAGATTGCGCTAGATAATATGTAAAAAGCACTTAGAGGATTGCCCGTGGTTATGTTGCCTATCATTAGCAGTTGCAACATTATCATCATTCCTAGCAATACCTTTCCTCTTAAAATAATTTTATAGTTAAACCAGAGTAATCTTTGTAATGGAGCTCACCTGAGTTTCCTTCCTCCTTAAAAAAATTCCCTCCTTAAAAACCTTCAAAGACTGTCCAGTGCTTATAAGTAAATGTTTGCACAGCATTCAATCACATTTTGGTCCCAGCCCACCCTCCAGCTTTGTACCCCTTTCTGTTTTGCTTGCAAATAAAATAGTTCTTGTCTTGAAGAAGTCATCTTATCTCTGTGTCTCCAGAACACTTAACAAGTACTAGATGCCTATATTCATTTAATTGTGCCTGTGTGTCACAATCACTCTCTCAATCATTATCTGGCTACTATTTAGGAAGTATTTAATTTGTCTCCTTTAGTCAGAAAGCCCACAGAACTTACCACACTGTATAACAGCAAAAACACAACAGTGGAGATAAATTAGATTTAAATTTCCTCTCGGTAACCAGATATTTTATTTCCTTTGAGAACTGTTATACCTGACCTACTGCTTTCTGGATTTAAAAGACATATTGTTTAAATAACGTATTAATTAAAAACATTTTGGTAAGATTTTTTCCTTCCCAGTCTGCTGGTTTATTGTGGTCTTAATTTTAATGTTCCTTTTTTTCCCCCTACACATGAATTTCTTTTACTTGAAGAAATTGGAATTTAGGATGGCGGCAGATCACATTATATTCAAGTAGAAGAGGAATATGTTTTATACATTATGTCAGTTCTCTTGTGAAGTGTTTATATAATTTAATTCCTCTATACTACTTTCTACTTTGTGTAGTGATTTTACTTAAATTCTTTGAAATGTACCTGTTCCTGTGGTTGAAGGTGTTTGTCATCCTTTGTTTAGCAAATAAAAGTAAGACACAGAAATTGAGAGTCTAAAATTACACAGGAAATGTAATCTGGGAACTGTGCTGTAAGGCCCTGCTACCCATTTGTGTGGTGATGTGTTTAGTATTACCATGTTACTTTACAGCATGCTGTTATGCTTGCTACCATTTATGATTTTGTGTGGCACACACTGGTAGATCATTATATTTTATACTTCATTATTGTTGTGGGACAACATACGACTCATTATGTTTTCATTTTGAGAAGAAGGCTAATCAGTTTTTATAGTCAGATGCTGTAAATTAAGTAGTTTTATATGACTTAGTACCTCAGAATACTAAGGATTGCGTAAATGCAAATAATCACTGTAACAAGTAACACTGATAATAACTAAGCTTTTGTGCATTCCATGCCTTATGCCGAAACATAGATGATCTAATATCCTCACCAGACCAGTGAATAAATGCTATTATTTATTATTATTTGAGATGGAGTCTTGCACTGTCACCCAGCCTGCAGTAGTGGTGCGATCTTGGCTTACTGCAGCCTCTGTCTCCTGGGTTTAAGCAATTCTCGCGCCTCAGCCTCCTGAGTAGCTGGGACTACAGGCGCCCACCACCACACCTGGCTAATTTTTGTATTTTTAGTAGAGATGGGGTTTCACCATGTTGGGCAGGCTGGTCTCAAACCCCCAACCTCAAGTGATCCACCCATCTTGGCCTCCCAAAGTGTTGGGATTACAGGCATGAGCCACCATGCCCAGCCTTAAATACTATTATTATCCCTGTTTTCGTGTGAGAAGATTGAGGCTTATAAAAGTTAAGGGATGTCACCCAAAGTCACATGATCGTTCTCTGTGGCTCCAGTAAACAGAAGCTGTAGAAATTAAAATTTTAATAATTACAGTGGTCTGAAAGCAAAGCTTTATAGTGAGTACTTTTGGGGGTATTTTTTCTTTGGTGGTGTTTGTTTGTATGTGCCTTTTTTTTTTTTTTTTTCCTGCCCTGTATTTGAACATAAAAATGTTCAGGGACTCTGCATTATGTGTGTTAATGTGAGCTTCTGTCTCCACAATAGAAGTCAAAAGGGGGCAGATCTTCTTCCAGTCCTTTGGCAGTTTGTATTAGCACAAAGTATTCTCAACAGAATTCATTTGCTTGCTCCATGTTCAATTTCCCAGGCCAGAGCATCGTTTGCTGAGTATTAATCAAGCCACATCGAGATCACCTTTCAATAAATTGTTTCTATGAGAATTGACTGGGATATAGATTAGGATTTTTTTTTTCTTATGGCTTCTTTCTCTTTGCTTCTCTGGCTTGAACTCTTACACTAGCCCTCTAATTTCCTTATACTTCCCCTCCTATTTTCTGTCTTTTTTTTGCTGAAAACTTTGGGACTGTTTTTTTTTCTATTTTATATTCCAGTTTAATTTTGATCCTTATTTCCTGCATGTTTCTTTCTTTTTAAAATAATGTTATGCTAAAAAATAATAATGTCATGCTATTGGAAGGCATACCTTAATTGGTTATTTCTCAGACAATATTAATGACAGTTTAAAATTTTTTTTGTTCCCTACTGGTTTTCTTGTTCTTGCATTCTCTGTTTCATCCACGTTGGTTTTTGTTTTTGTGGGTTTTTTTTTTCTTTGTTCTGATCTCTTTTTTTTATTTTGTTGCTTCCTTCAAATATCTGGTGATGATTGCTTATATGTTAATATGTTAAAGTATAGCATCAAATTGCAAACTGTGTTACAGCAAGATTTGTGGACTGTGGTCTCCTTTTAGAAGTATATGGCTAGGTTACTATAAGAGTACCTGACAAGTAATAAGTATTTATTCAGTAAACTAATGTATCGTTGATAATAATGAATCTCTTTTACTGTTTTCCGAAGTGACTGTATGCAGAGTGGAGTTGAATGTTTACCAGAGGACTTGCTTATGTTTTGGGATAAATTATATTTTATCTAATTTTACGTATGTTTTATTTTGTCAATTTTGATCAGAAGAATTAATTTTGTTATCCTCAATTATTCTTTGGCCTAGTTTTCAGATAACTATTATCGTGCAGAAATGATTGATGCCCTGGCCAACTCTGTTACGCCTGCAGTCAGTGTGAATAATGAAGTTAGGACTTTGGATAACTTAAATCCTGATGTGCGACTCATTCTTGAAGAAATCACCAGATTTTTGAATATGGAGAAACTCCTTCCAAGCTATAGACATACCATCACTGTCAGGTAATGATTAAATTCTTTACTTTAAAGTTATTTGTTCTTATAACTATAAAAATGTCCTAAATTTTTTCTCTCTCTAACTACATAATTTTTTAATTACTTGAGATTATATTGTATATGTAGTTTTTGTATTCTGTTTATATTATAAATACTTTCTCATGTCATAAATTCTTCGTAAGCATTGCTTTGATGTCTGCATATTCTTTTATTGGATATTGTATAAACATTCTCTATCTCTATTGTTAGCCTTTTCTTAAGAGGACTTTTCACTTTTTTTTTTTTGAGACAGAGTCTCTGTCGCCAGGCTGGAGTGCAGTGGCGCGATCTTGGCATGCTGCAACCTCCGCCTCCCAGGTTCAAACAATTCTCCAGCCTCAGCCTCCCAAGTAGCTGGGATTATAGGCGTGTGCCACCATGCATGACTAATTTTTTGTATTTTAGTAGAGTTGGGGTTTTCACCACATTGGCCAGCTGTTCTCAACCTCCTGACCTCATGACCCACCTGCCTCAGCCTCCCAAAATGCTGGGATTACAAGTGTAAGCCACCACGCCTGGCCTGACTTTTCACTTTTACCAGCTTTATATGGCTATCAAGAAGTTCTCCCTGTTTAAGAGTTTGCTAAAAGTTGATTCAAACATGAACAGTTTTAACTTTCTAAATAGTGAATAAACTATGTTACTAAAACATTTGGAGAAAATATTTATATTTTATGCTAAATGTTTTTTTTAAAAAAACTATTCTTGTTACAAGTATAACACTTAAAACTTTTGAGTTTTGGAATTTGTTTTCTTTCTTTTTTTTTTTGAGACAGAGTTTCACTCTTGTTTCCCAGGCTGGAGTGCAGTGGTATGATCTCAGCTCACTGTACCCTCCGCCTCCCGGGTTCAAGCGATTCTCCTGCCTCAGCCTCCCAAGTAGCTCGGATTATAGGCATGTGTCACCACGCATTGCTAATTTTTGTATTTTTAGTAGAGACGAGGTTTTACCATGTTAGTCTGGCCGGTCTCGAACTCCTTACCTCAGGTGATTCACCCACCTTGGCCTCCCAAAGTGCTGGGATTACAGGCGTGAGCCACGATGCCCGGCCAGAATTTGTTTTCTTTTAACAGAATTTAGATGTTATTTTTATCATCATTGCAAAATATTATAGTTATATGTCACTTAACAGGGATATGTTCTGAGAAATGAGTTGTTAGGCAATTTTATTGTTTATGCAAATACTTTAGAGTGTATTTATACAAACCAGATGGTGTAGCCTCCTATACACCTAGGCTTTATGGTATAGCATATTGCTCTATTGCTCTTAGGCTATAAAGCTGTACAGTGTGTTACTATACTGAATACTGTAGGTAATTGATAACACAATGGTAAGTACTTGGATATTTAAACACATTCAAACATGTGAAAGGTATGGTAAAAATATAGTATAAAAGATAATAAATGGTAGCCCTGTATAGGATACTTACCATAACGTAAATGGAGCTTACAGGCCTGGAAGGTGCTGTGGGTTTATCAGTGAATGTGTAGTGAATGAATGTGAAGGTGTAGGACATTATTACCATCCACTACAGCAGATATAATAAATACTGTGGACTTAGACTACACTAAATATATTAAAAATATTTTTTCTTCAGTGATAAATTAATCTTAGTTTACTAGATGACCACCATCATATATGCAGTTCATCATTGACTGAGATGTCTTTTATGTGGCACGTGACTCTTACAGAATTAAAGGTGGATTAAAATCACCTCAGTTTTTAAATTTATTACCGTAAAGGGATCTCTAATGCCTAGGAAACAAATTTAATTCATAATACTTCAGTGAAAGTTGTTAACATACGTATTTATTTTTTTCCCTAGTTGTTTGAGAGCAATACGGGTACTTCAGAAGAATGGACATGTGCCAAGTGATCCAGCTCTTTTTAAATCTTATGCTGAATATGGCCACTTTGTGGACATTAGGATAGCAGCTTTGGAAGCAGTTGTTGATTATACTAAAGGTAATACTTTAGAAGTACATGCTCATGTCATTTTATAAAGAAATATTTACTTTTTAAAGCCTGTCTTGATTATTGGGGCTTTCATTATATGTACAATACAGATATTTTCATTTTGAATTCTTGACTCACTGATTTAGAAATCATCTTTGATAAATGTAGAATTCACATAAGAGTTAATAAATGAGGGAAAGGAATAAAATTATAGGTATCTTTGGCCTTTCCAGGAAGTCAGTGTTCATCCTGTAGCTTTAATTGGATGTTATTTTAGGAAATAGAAGATTTTTGGAAAATGTCTAAGAAGGATTCAAGAAAATATCTCACACCTGTGTAAAAATTTGTGTCTGTGAAAGTAGAGGACTAGACATGAACATAAACTTCAGTAAGGGAATTAGGCATGAATTTGGAAAAACATAAAGCCAAAGTATTGCTAAGAGAAGAATACACATATATTTTTTTTAATTTAGAGGAGAAAGGTAGAAGAGATGGAAATGTGAAAAAGTCATGAAGAATAGAGCAGGTAGAGGTCAAGTAGAGGACAAGTAATCCAAGAAATAACAGAATACCCTGGGAGGGTGTAGATGCAGCAGACCTACAGTCATTTCTGATGAAATTTTAATTTTTAAGGCTAAAGGAAAATGTGTGTTTCTAGTACTATCAGAACCAGATTATTGTACAAGGTAAAATAATACTGTGGCCTCTGAATTCTTTAGAATATGAGGCATGAAAAGACAGTGAACATATGGCTATGTAATTTTTAGGGAAAATTATGACCCAAGTTTTTCTACCTTGCCAAAGTTCTTGCTCATGTAGCCTTAGAGAACTAGAGCAGCATCTCTTATGTAACATTCTTAAAAACATAACTCCCAAAGATAATTTTCAGCTGAACTGGATGTGAGTCAAAATAAAAACTCAAAATTGGTGGAAATGTGAAATGAAAGAAGTGGTGCTGAATAACTATGCCTGACAAATACGTAACCTTACATATTTGTTAAACTTGCTGTAAAATTTAATGCATATCTCAAAAATAATTTTTAAAAAATAATATGCAAGAAGGAACATGTAAATACAATCTAAGTCTAAAATTCCAGATTCTAGCACTAAAATATGAGAGGAGAAAAGAACTTAAAGTATGCTAAACTTTTGTCTGACTGCAGAAGGAGAGGAAGGGGTGAGAGAAGTTCTTCAGTAGATACTAGTTCAGTTTCAAGTTGGGGAAACTCTACTCAAGTCTTCATAATTTTTGGTAAATTTCTGTAGAAAAATTTGTTCACAGTCAGAAAATAAAGAAAGTGTATGTTCTTTTTTTTTTTTTTTTTTTTGTGTCTCGCTGTCACCCAGGAGGTTAAGCTGGAATGTAGTGGTGTGATCTTGGCTCACTGCAACCTCCCCAACCTGGGTTCAGGTGATTCTCCTGCCTCAGCCTCCCGAGTACCCAGGTGCAGCACACGCAGTTATTTTTTATATTTTTAGTGGAGATAAGGTTTCACCGTGTTGGCCAGGATGGTCTCAATCTCTTGACCTCATGGTCAGCCCGTCTTGGCCTTCCAAAGTGCTGGGATTACAGGTGTGAGCCACTGCGCCCAGCCTATAATGTGTATATTCTTAGATGATGACCTGACTTCGGAAAGGACTGTCAGTTGTGCTTCCTTTTTATTGAAGGTTAAAATATTCTTTCCTGTTAGAAATAATTATGAAAACAGTGATTTCGTTATTAAGTGAATTTTTTGGCATGAAAAAGAAATGTAATCCTCTACCCATCTCCATTTCTGTTTTGGCAAGTTTTAAAATCCACCAAATATGCCACTGTTGCCGGTCTTTTTTCCCCAGATGTTTGAGTGGTGTTTAATGTCTCATAAATATAAGTTAGATATTAGACTACCTGAAATGAAATGTCTCATAAATATAAGTTATAAATTAGACTACCTGAAATGATATAGAATACTAGTAGGATTTCCAAAAGGATGCTAAACTTTAATAGATAACATTTAATTGGGAAACATCAATCCATACTTCATTTTTGTTCATGTCTAAATGTAAACTACGACTTCAGACTTCATGTTTTGTTAAATTGTAAATTTAAATATCAATGCTCAAGTTAGAAAACGGAAGTGAAAAGTATTGTGAGTAAAATTCTAAAGACAAAGTTTTTCAAATTATGAAAGCAAAACTTGTTTGAAAAGGTGAATGAAAATAGCTAGTCATTTTATGTCAACTATATTCATAGCACTGTTTTTATAACTGCCTTTTATATTATGCTTGAAAAGTTAAGAACTTTCTTTAGTCTTAAATGGAAGAAACCACTTGGGCAAAATATATGATATAGACGAGATAGCATTGTGTGTCAAATCTCTCTGTCATTTAAGCATCTAGAAAAACAATTGTATTTGAATAGATTTTGTCCAGTTAATCATCTCTAATTTACGGTTCTTAATTACAATTTGCTTTATGTTATGTTTGTCATTGGTTTGAGCTTCAGTAAAAAATATGTTCTTGATGGAACTTTATGTCTTGATGCTAGTATATAGCTTGATACTTAAAAAAGTTACAAAGTGGCCCATTGCATAAAAATACAAGAGTTTGCCTATAACCTTCAACTCTCATTGAAAATTAAGCTGGCCGGGCGTGGTGGCTCACACCTGTAATCCCAGCACTTTGGGAGGCCAAGGCGGGCAGATCACAAGGTCAAGAGATCGATTCCATCCTGGCCAACAGGGTGAAACCCTGTCTCTACTAAAATACAAAAATTAGCTGGATGTGGTGGTGTGCACCTGTAGTCCCAGCTACTTCGGGAGGCTGAGGCAGGAGAATTGCTTGAACCCTGGAGGTGGAGGTTGCAGTGAGCCAAGATAGCGCCACTGCACTCCAGCCTGGTGCCTGGTGACAAAGAGAGACTGTCTCAAAAAAAAAAAAAAAAAAGAAAAGAAAAAGAAAATTCAGCTAAGGCAGAGTCCTGAATATTAAATGTAAACTCCCTGCTTGTCACTCGTTATTCATTAATTTGTTATAATTAACAACAAATACATTTTATTTTTAGTGGACAGAAGTTATGAAGAACTGCAATGGCTACTTAGTATGATTCAGAATGACCCTGTACCCTATGTAAGGTTAGTTTATGTGCTATGATGCTATAATATTTTGTAAGTCCTATAGTGAATTGGATAATTTGAGATTACACATTAAATACTTATTTAAAAATTTTGAAAATATGGGAATATCTTTTGCATTTATTCATGTCCTTTTTAAATTTGATTTTCAAATTTACCTTTGGAAAGACATTTTCAAAATGCATTGTTTATTAAGTATATTCCCTGTAATTGTATATATTATTTCTATTGTAAGTTAAAGAAACCTATGTAACACTTTATAATAAACATGAAGGATTCTTTATATACCAAATTATAAAACCTCTTTATTGATTAGTTTCACCATTTTAAAAGTAATTATGAGCAGTGTTTTGGGATATATCCATTTATTCCTTTCTATCACATATAAAGTGTCCATTTTTATTAGACTTGAAATTTTTTAAACAGGTAATATAACATTAATATTTTATGGGCTGGGTACTTTGGCTCATGCCTGTAATTGCAGCACTTTGGAGACCCAGGTGGGAGGATCAATTGGGGCCAGGAGTTTGAGACCAGCATGGGCAACAAAGCAAGACCTTGTCTCTACAAAAAGTAAAAAAAAAAAAAAAATTAGCTCGTCACAGCAGTGCATGCCTGGAGTCCCAGCTTGAGAGGCTGAGGTGGGAGAATTACTTGAACCCAGAGTTCAAGGCTGCAGTGATCTATGATCATGCCACTGCACACTGCACTTCAGCCTGGGCAACAGAGCAAGACTCCATCTTTAAAAAATTTTTTTTTCAGCACTTTGAGAGCCTGAGGCAGGTAGATCACTTGAGGTCAGTAGAGCAGCCTGGCCAACATGGTGAAACCCCATCTCTACTAAAAGTACAAAAATTAAGTAAGTGTGGTGGCGGGTGCCTGTAATCTCAGCTACCCAGGAGGCTGAGGCAGGAGAATCACTTGAACCCAGGAAGCAGAGATTGCAGTGAGGTGAGATCACGTCACTGTGCTCCAGCCAGAGCAAGACTCCGGAGTTTCACCATGTTGGCCAGGCTGGTCTAGAACTCCTGACCTCAAGTTATCCACCCGCTTGGGCCTTTCAAAGTGTTTGGATTACAGGCCTGAGCCCCTGTACTTGGCCAAAAAAANAAAAAAAAAAAAAAAAAAAAAAAATTATTAGCAGGGCTTACTTGGCATTTAGAGTAATTTGAGTGACTTGGAAAGCAGTCAGACAGAAACTTCACTTTTCTTCATCGAGAAAATTAGAAGTATAACAACTTAAAATGCTCTAACGAACAAACTTACTCACATTTTAAAATATATTATTTACCTATATATTATTGGCTCTTACAAATAGAATATGAGGCTTGAAGGATAAGAATTGTGTTTATATATAAAGATGAAAATATGGATATGAAATATCCATAAAGATTTATATCCCTGTTTATATTTCCTATCTGTAAATTGCACTCTATAATTACATTTCACTTGTATTCTCATAACCCTCTGTAGTCTTATTTCACACAGTCTTAAATTTCAAAGCACAAGAGGATGTTAACAGAATCTACATCTTTTAGTTTTATAGGCATTAAATTGCCACCTAAAGGGGTTAAATTATTTACACTACAATCTAGCAGTTTCACTTTTCCCATCTCCTTCTCAATTACAAATCCAATTTGATGTCTTACCACCATCAATTAAATGTAAAAATTTTCCCAATTCACCTTCTTTAAAGTTTTGCTAACTTCCACAAGAATTACAACTCAATTTCTTTCTTCCTCACTTATATCCAAGCATTGCAGTTACTCTTAGTAATTTCTTAGATTTGGTCCTAGGGCTGGTTTTTATGCTTTCATTAAATGCTAGACTATTGCAGTAAGTTTCTTACTTCTTTCTTTTCTCTAGTATTTTAATGGTGTCTTCCACTCATAGCAGTGGATGTTTTCTTTTCAAATTTTGTTTTCATTTCATTGCCCTATTTTTCAGAAAGCTTTATAATATGTTTAAGTAGCCTCTCATATGAGATGAAAACTCCCAATAGTGGAATTTAAATGTTACCATCTATTAGGATACTTTTCTCAACTTCAGATTGTTTTAAGGAAAACTTTTTACAATCTTTATCTTTAAAACGCTTCTGCACATTTCCATACTTTACAAATATACTATCATAATGACATATATGTTCATTTTATTATCTAAAATATAGACTTTTTGATCTATATGTAGATTCTTTTTGCCCCATGTTTTTAGAAGGCCTCATCACAAAGTAAGGTGATTTTAGAAACACCAAATCCACCAGATTTTTTTTTTAAATTACTCTCTTATCCAAACCACCAGAGTGTTTTAGTGAAAAAAAAATTAATAAATATTTAGGATATAGCATCATGTCTTTTGAAATTAAATAAACACGAAGCTAGATTTAAGAGAGAAAGCGATAAAATAGGAAGAAAGAACTATAGATAATTTTTTGATGTTTTATCATGTCCCCTACTCATAGCATCTGTCAGTAAATGGTCAGCAAAAATTTAATGTCTTTTAATCTTTCAGGCATAAAATTCTAAATATGTTGACTAAGAACCCACCATTTACTAAGAACATGGAGTCTCCGTTATGCAATGAAGCCCTGGTTGATCAACTTTGGAAACTTATGAATTCTGGTGAGAGAGCAGTGATTTAAATTTTATTATTATTATTAGAATCTTTTCATTTTACAACAGGTTTTCAATTCAATAGCATTTAAGAGCTAAAGTTAAAAGTTGAGTTTTTTATTTCTTTTAAGTAGACTATCACACCTTCACAGTGATGGCTGTACCTTTATTACGGATGTACTCACTCACTTTACTCCATAGGGTGGTTGAGGAAACAAAAATATTTATTTATATGACAGTGTCAAATGGTTAAGGTGTTATAAACATGAGCCTGCAAAGTATTATTATTATTTCGGAAAGTTACAAAGAGGTGAAAAATAAGTCTTCTCGCTTCTTTCCTTGGCCATCTAATGGACTTTTCCAGAGGCAACCAATCTCTTGTGTTCCTTTCCAGAGGAGTCAGTGCATATAGAATAACATACAGACTGTATTTTTCAAAGTACTTATTGTTCTGTACTGTGGAGATCATGATATCTCATCACAGTTTTATTTTATTTATTTATTTATTTATTTTTGAGAGAGTCTCTGTCGCCCAGCCTGGAGTGCATTGGTACAATTTTGGCTCATTGCAACCTCTACTTCCCAGGTTCAAGCGATTCTTCTGCCTCACATTCCCGAGTAGCTGCGATTACAGGTGTGCACCACCATGCCCGGCTAATTTTTGTATTTTTAGTAGAGACAGGGTTTCACCATGTTGGCCAGGCCGATCTCAAAATTCTGACCTCAGGTGATCACCTGCCTTGGCCTCCCAAAGGGCTGGGATTATAGGCATGAGCCTCTGTGGCCGGACACATCACAGTTTTAATTTACATTACTTGAGTGAGGTCAAGAGGTAAGAAAACAGTACTTAGGAGTGCTAGTTCTGGAACCATTTTGCTAAGGGTTGAATCTTAGCTCAGTTATTTACGTATTGTGTGATTTGTCTAAGCTGTAATAATACCTACTTTAAATAGAATTGAATAAGTTAGTATTTGTACAACACAGTGTCTAGCTCATATTAAATACTCAAAAATGCTATACTAGGATAATGATAGTTATCATTATGCTCCTCTTATATTTGAGCTATCTGTACTTCTTTTTCCAAGTTATTCGTATTGTTCGCTATTTTGTTTAATTGAATTATTGATTGTTTCCTGTTGATTTAAAAATGTGTACATTTAAAGAAAATTTGCCATTATGTCTGTGATCGGTTGAAATTGTAATAATGGTTTCTGTTTAAAGATTCAGTCAAAAGCTAGGCTGAAATGTGTTTTGCTTAAAGATAGCAAGAGTTGTTGGATACAGTGGGAGAGCAGTAGTGCAATGGCACAATCTTGGCTCACTGCAACCTCTGTTCTGGCAACGCTCTTGCCTCAGCCTCCCGAGTAGCTAGGATTACAGGTGCCCACTCCACGTCCAGCTAATTTTTGTATTTTTAATAGAGATGGGTTTTCTCCATGTTGGCCAGGCTGGTCTCGAACTCCTGACCTCTGGTGATGTGCCGCCTTGGACTCCCAAAGTGTTGGGATTACAGGCGTGAGCCACCGGGGCCACCTATTCATATATTTAAAAGGTTTGAGTATGTCACTTTATTTGCTCTCTATGAATTGGAAAATAACTTGTCCTGTTTATCTCATTAGTAGCTACTTCACTGACTCACAAATACAAAATTCTAATTCTTTTATTATTTAGTTCACTAATATTGAGATGTTAACTGATTGTATAACTTCTGTTTTTCAGTTTCATGAGTGCAATACCACCAGTAAAGGCACCATAGTAGATATTTATGTGAAATATAATAAAATTGAAAATAGGATGGCCCTTGTCCTCAAGGTCTTTAGAAAACAGCACATAAAACCAGTTTATGCTAAAATATTGCTAATCTTTTTTCTAATGTTTTCTTTAATCTCTGAAAGAATGATTGCTGCTTTTTACATAATGTTTTATATTTGCTACCTTTGGCTACCTTAAAAGATATTATTTCTGCCATTTAGAACCAGGGAATTAACACATAAGTTCAGGAACTTGTAAAGGATCATTTAACAGTTCATATGTGGCACTAACTCTACTGTATTGAATATATTCTTAACTGGAATACATGATTCCTGGGCCATGATAGGTGACAAATTTGAGGAAAGCACAGTGAAATATGAAGAATTCTTTTATTATTTTCTAAAGAAGATGTTTTAGACAAAATAAACATGTGTTCAAAATTAATGAGACAGTTTTTATAAAACATTTGAAGTCCATTGGAAGTTTTGATTATACAAATTGAAGCTGTGACTGATGTTTAGTATTTACTTTTGATAGTGTGCAGTATAGTACAGGTTTGCTTTGGTTTAAAATTCTTTGCCAATATCTAAATCAGTGAGATCAGTGAAGCTATAGTCATAAAAAATTCATTACTTAGTTTTTCAGATTTATAAATAAATGGGAACAGCCTGAACAATGGAGTGGCATGAATAATTGGGAGGGTTAAAAAAAGTGTTTTTGTAGAACATTGTACAATAGACAGGGAAGATGGACTAGAGAGGATTGTTATTTCCCTTCCATACCTGAACCTTTGGGATAAATGAATGAATCTGGTCTGAGAAATCCTTTTTTTGTTTAATTAAAAAAAAATTTAATGGTAAAAGTAATATAATCATGTTACAGAGTTTATCTGAAAAAACTACAAAGAAAGGAAATATTACATAATTCTATTACATCCTCACTATTTCGATTTGGGTATATTTGGCCTTTAGGGAAAAAAATTGTGTTTTGTGTTACATAGTTGAAGTAAAAGTTTAAAATAGCATTTTATCATGAGACTTTTTCACAGTGCTATATTATCTTCTTAATGGTTACTGTTTTAAGAAGTGGTAATGAGGATTCATCATAACAAAAGGAGCTACATCATCTAGGTCCAGTAATCTGGCGGAACCCTGCCTGCTCCTCACTTTGGGGCTCTTGGGCCATCTGCTCACTTGAGATAAGCATTATCAGGAAAACAGAAACTGTGAATGATGGAGATGAAATTGTATTCATTTATTTCTCTCTTTCTGCAAAGTAGATTTGAGGTATGTTGACTTTGCATAGTTACAAAATTTACTGAACCAATTTAAAACATAGGAGAGAATATCATGGTAGTTCAAAAGGACCATAAAATCAACAGGTACTTTTGAAGAATCAGAAACTTTTCAGTAGGAGAAATTGTGTATGGATTTATAGAAACAAGATTTTAAAAATTGAAATCAATTTGAGAGTGAAACAATGATACTCATGACTTTTAAAAATTCGTATGTCATTCAGTTAATACTAGTACTCATTTTAGAAATATACTAGGGGAATTTGGAGCTGAGAGACAGTTACAGGAACTGAGAACTCTTGGTAGCTACATCACCAGGAGGAAGGTTGTCAGACTTTTTTGTTGAGATTTCAGAGCTGCCTAGTCTCTGTGTGTTTCTTGGTGCGGAGTAACTCCACTTAGCCTTAAATTCTGGGAGGTACTCTAATATCTTTCCAAAATTTTTTTTGCTTTGTAAATATATACACACATTGACCTGTCTATGTGTATATTCACTCATACATGTGTCAGATATCTTAACCCATTCTTTATGTAATTTTTCATATACATTTTTATCTTCAGCATTTTGTTTTTAAAATTGTTAAAGCTTAAAAATTTAAAGAATAATATAGTACATAATCATATACTTTCAGCTTGATTCATCAGTTAAAATTTTACCATTTACTTTATCTCCTTTTCCTTTTCTTTATCTTATATTTATACCCTGTTTTTTTCTGAATCATTTGAAAATAAATGGCATCATGATCCTCTTCCCAAATACTTCAGTATACACTCCTGAGAATAAGGTCATTCTACATATCCACAATATGATCATCACACTGCACCCAGCATATAGCCCATATTCACAGTTCCCCAGTTGTTTCCAGAAATGCTCTTTGCAGTTCCCATACAGCTTTTAAATTAATGCTACACAGAAAGATAGTAAACATTTTTAAAGACAAGGATCTTTTACATTATATGATGTTTGTCCATGGTTGCTTAAGATTCTTAAATAGGTTTGTTTTTTTATTGAAAATATCTAATTTGCCAGGGGCAGTCGTTTTTAAAGGTTTCACATATTCATTCACTAGTTTTTTTCTTGAGCACTTTCCATTTGCCACTATGCTACATTTTCTGTGTGTTAACTAAGTATAATGGAAAGAGAGACATAGGTACAGATAAATTATAATATGAAGAGATAGTTGCTAATGTAAGGAGAACAAACTATTTGGCGAACCCAAAGAAAGGAGCCATGAACCCTGTCTGGAAGGCTTGAATGTTCATGGAGAGATAGCATTTGAGCTAGCTCTTGATGAATGGAAAGGAGTTTTCCAGCAGAATAAATACATTTTTAGGTAGTAGAATTATATATAAAAACCTCATGTTCTGAAGGAATATTTAGAAAATAGTGTTATCTGGAAAGATAGATTAGGATCTAAATGCAGAGGGCCTCGGGATTTGGGGCTTTATGCTTTGGTCAATGAGGAACAGGTGTTGATAGAACCAGGCTTACTTCGGTTAGCTGTGCGGGGGAGTAGCTTTTTTCCACGCCAAAGAAAATGATTTTCCTTTTCCAAAGGAATATGTATCAGAATTCGGAACATACTTTTATAGATTTAAGTAAGATAACAGAATTATAGGCCAAAACAACAGTAATTTTAAAATACATTAAAAAAATAAAAACCTAAGAATTGGAGATTTTTATTGGTGCCTTATATTTTATTTAAGACTTAAATACTTAACGGTGGTCTTGCCTAATTGAGTGATTTTTTTTATTTCTGAAGAAGCAGATCTTCATTGAGAATGGTATCTGACTGTATATCATCATGAAGGAAATTTTATCTGTTGCTTCCACATTGACCTTTAATTTATGGAACATTATTGAAAGAATGACATAAAAACACTAATTGTTCAAGTCATTGAATGCTGTTTATTCACATCATAATTTTTAGTGTTTGGAAATTTACAACTACACTCAAGGGGGTAGAATGAGGGACAACTTCTAATTCGGTTTGATAGGATTTGCCAGGTTTCAGAAAAGAAAATAAACAGTTTTGATATTAACATGAGAAGGTTTCAAAGTTCTGCCTCACCATCTCTCTCTCTCTGATACCTTCCTTCATAGGAATGGAAATGGTGGAGGAAAATGAAAACATATTGATTCATTTGTACATGAAATTATATATGTATACACACACACGCACATAAATAGAAATGAATTTGCTGTTTTTATTTACTGTACAATGCACAGAACAGTCAGGACAATAATACCCAGTGGAAGTTGTATTTCTGGCTTAACTGTGTACAGATTTCTAAGCTTCAGCCGTCAATAAGGAGTGCTGGGTTTATTCAGAAGTGTCCTGAAAACAGTGGCTTTCAGAGTGAATTTTCTTAGCAGCTTTTTTAGTTGATCAGTTTTAAGAGCAGTTACTTTAGAAAATGAAGAGATGATTTTTCAGTGGATCAGATTTACTACTTTGGTGGTGTTTGTCTCAGGGCACTTTCTGATTTGAAAAAGATCGTTAATATTGGGGTGGTAGTATTCTGATTCAGATAAATGGGGTTGGTCCCAGAGTATAACTGCTAATGAAGACAGGATGAATGGCACTTTTCCTGGGAGGAGAGACTAGTGACTGTCATTTTGTCATACGTGATCATTCATTGCCATAAGTGATGGGGAGAGGGGAGGTAGCTGGAAGATTAAAGAAGAGTCTTCAAAATATTGTAACTGAAGGCAGAAATCAGAGGCTGTTTCAGGCCCTCTCTTTCTAATGGAACTGATTGACTTGGAATCATCGAATTTTAGACCTGGTAAGGGGGATCTTAAAGATCATCTCAGTGAATTACTCTGATCATCTTAGTAACAGCCCAGGTGGCTGACTTGCCCAAGGTCACAGAACTAACAGGCAATTAATTAGAAGTGTTTTTTTTTCCCCATTCTATCTCTCATCTTAATTGAAATATACTAATGGGACAACTGTCTTAAGATTTCATTCCGTGATTTTGAAATACAATGAAATTTTGGCTTTTATTCTCTATTTCTTGCTCTCATTTGTAATTTTAACAAAATTCTGCTATTCATATTTTAGGTCCTCCGTAGTCCCCAATTTTAATATGTAAGTTCACTTTTAGAGGACAGAAAACACTATCAAGAATCTCCCTCAGGAGCAAAAAAAGTGATGTTCATATCTTTGCCCAAATTAAAGGTCTAGCAAAACCAAAAAGCCCACATAGAAATAAAAAGTAACCTAAATTACATTTGAGGGCTTCAAGTGCACTTAGCAGCCTTTACTGTGTTGCCTAATCATCCTCGAGCTGACTTTCAAAAACAAAATAAAAGCCGTGGCTCATCAAAATACACATACTCGATTTGTCTTTTAAAATTAATATTTGTATTTTTTAAATGTTTAGGAATTCACAGTTGAATGACTCATTTTGAGATCATCTACAGCATATGAAAGTTCAGGCTGGTTTTTGCAGGCAGTATTGATCTTCACGGTTTAATTTTCTCCCAAACAGTAAATGTACTCTAAACTGTTCTGGTTTTGTTGTTGTTGTTGTTGTTAACTGATAAAATGCCTAAGATTCACTCCTCCTCTTGCTATACCCATGTAGATAGATACAGGGCCAGCTGCTCTGGGTTGCCAGAATCTTTATTGCTCAAGAGTAGAGACCCTCTAGCCTTTGCTAATAGAAGCCCCCGGAATCTGATAACCTCCTCTTTGTGGAACTTTTATATATGTAAAATGCTTTGAGGAAGAGAAATGAATGCCTACAAAATAATACTACCTCAAGCTATTGAAGTGTCCACATGTGCATATTCCAGGAAGGGAAGATGCATTTCCAGTGTAAAATTCTTGCTTTTACTATGTAATGTTTTCTTCCATTACTTGTTTCTCTGTAGCTCTTGCCTCTCCCAGTGTTGTATGTTACACAGCAACAAAACTGAAAATGTCTCAAGTAGGACTGATGAGAGCTATTTCACAACAATATAGCATGCAAAGTGGCCTAGTACAGTGCCTATCTAGTATCAAAGTGAATTTACAGTTTTTTCATTACAGCTTTGCATATAATTAATAGATACCTATTAGAGTAAATCTGATGAGAATTACTATTAGTTGATAATGTATTTGCTTATACTAATATTTGTCAAAAACCACAAAGTTTAATATTTATGATACCCAAATTTTTTTCCTTTTTGTTTCACCTTTTTAAATATGATACTCTTTTAAAACTACAGTTCTTGGTAAAAATTAGATATTTATAGGGCCTTCTTTCCTTCCTTCCTCCTGCCCTTTCTTTATTTTTTGAGACAGAGTCTCACTCTGTTGCCCAGGTTTGAGTGCAGTGGCACAATCTTGGCTCACTGCAGCCTCCACCCCCTGGGTTCAAGCGATTCTCCTACCTCAGCCACCCAAGTAGCTAGGATTACAGTCTTGTGCCACCACATCCAGCCAATTTTTGTATTCTTAGTAGAGACAGGGCTTTGCCATGTTGCCCAGGTTGGTCTTGAACTTCAGAGCTCAAGCAATCTGCCCACCTTGGCATCCCACAATGCTGGGATTATAGGCATGAGCCGCCGTGCCGAGCTGGGTTTATTTTTCTTATCAAGAAGAATGTCCACATTTCTTCTGTTCACTTGTTTTATATCTTCAAGTCATTTAAAATTCTGATCATAGAGATTGTGCAACCCTAGCTGACAAATTTCATCTTTTCAGTCAATTTCATTTGATGATAATGTCTAGGGGAGTGCCCTACTGGGGAGAAAAGGAAGGGATAAGAACCCTGATATCAATCTGCTGTGATCTGTCATTGCAATGGGGTAAGATATGACTTGAGACAAAAACTCCTATTTCAGAGATGAAAAAACAGATTCAGAGAAATGGAGAGTACTTGCTTCTACTGTCTCAACTAGTTGAAACTGAACTTTCTCCCAGGCAGTTATTTTCCGGTCAAGTTCACATCTACTGCCCATTGCCATGCTTGTAATTTGCTTATTTCCGTTATTTTAAAATCATAAATAAGTTCTTAATAGAGTAACACAAATATAAAGGTGTTTAGCAAAATATTTTCCTCCTCTACAATAAGTCCAATAGAAGTTGTATAGTTTCGTATTATATTTCAAACCTGCAAAGTAGCAAGTTCTAGAGATCAGAAAATTTGTTTCCGTGATAGGGTATGCAAAGGCTCATGGAGGCTGTCTTCCTAACAGGCTGTTAATGAAGAGAATCAGACAAGATGAAGAGAGGATGAATGAATGTGGAATAATTACTGAGGAGAAAGAATAAAAAGGAAGATTTAAGGTTTAAAAAAATGCAATTTTTGGAATGTTAGACTTTTCATTACTGTCTGGTATTCACTTTGTAAGATGAAAGCTGTCATAAAGGTTTTTCCAGTTATAAAGTTCTCTTTGTTGCATAGGTTCTGGGACAGTTAAAATGTATGAATCAATGTGCATATTGACTTATTTCTGTATTGTTTACTTTAAGGTACTTCACATGACTGGAGGTTACGGTGCGGTGCTGTGGACTTGTACTTCACACTTTTTGGCCTCAGTAGACCTTCCTGTTTACCCTTGCCAGAGCTTGGGTTGGTTCTTAATCTAAAGGAGAAAAAAGCCGTCTTGAATCCTACCATAATTCCAGAGGCAGTAGCAGGCAACCAGGAAGCTGCAAATAATCCAAGCAGTCACCCACAGCTAGTTGGATTTCAGAACCCTGTAAGAATCACATGTATTACAGAAGATATAGTTTCATTAATACAGAGCCATCTAGAGAAGAGAAATTGTTTCCTGTGAACTACTGTAGTGAATTTTATAGCCACTAACAGTTTCTTTTGTCCTTTTAAAACGTGCTGGTTGACATTTGTTTAGCACTGTGCAAATTATAAAATGCTACTGACAGCTATATAATTTTACATAACAAATGATGTGCTCCTGGTTTTTTTATTCCTTCTGTGATAACCTAATGATTTTTTTGTACTTGAGTATAGAATTTCTTCTGTGAGTAGCAAAAGATATAAATGAATATTTTATCTTTGTTTTTCTTGAGACAGAGTTCTGCTCTTGTTGCCCAGGCTGGAATGCAATGGCACAATCTCAGCTCACTGCAACCTCTGCCTCCCAGGTTCAAGCTATTCTCTTGCCTCAGCCTCCTGAGTAGCTGGGATTATAATTGTCTGCCATCACACCTGGCTAATTTTTTGTATTTATGGTAGAGATGGGGATTCACCATGTTGGCCAGGCTGGTCTCAATCACCTGACCTCAAGTGATCCACACACCTCAACCTCCCAAAGTGCTAGGATTACAGGCATGAGCCACCGTGCCTAGCTGAATATTTAACCTATTACATAGTAACCCATCTTGTCCCATATGTGTTAATGGCAAGCCATGCGAACACAGAGGCCTTGTCTTTTTAAAACTGTTGCTCTGTGTAATACCTAGCACAGTTCTAAACATATGATAAATGCCTGACAAATGCTTGTTGAATGAAATAAATAACTGAATGGATGAATGAATGATCAGGTAAATGAATAATCTGCTGATTTGGGAGGAGACTGTGTTACCTTTAAAAACGTTATGTATCTACATATATGTTTGCTTGCCTTTAGAGAAGCTTTTATTTCTACCTTTGTATTGTAAAATTACCAGACATTTTGTAGAAAGACTTACGGGATACATGTTAATCATTTTACTGTAATTTAAGGAAATTTTTTCTGAATTTTTTTTTATTGATGACAAAATGTCTCCAGTACTTCAAGCTTCATTTTTCACCAATATTTAGACCAGATTACTTGCCTGGCAATTCCCTACTGGTGTTTTGACACTTTAAAATGCAGATTCCCTCTATGCTAGTTAGTAATAGTTCATTTTAAAATTGTTTACTCACCTAAATTTTCTGAAGTATCATCATACTTATTTGTTGTCAATTTAAAGTATGTCCTTGAGTTTGGGTTATGAAGAAGTAAGACGAATACTTACATAGAATAAAAAGAGTCTCATTAAAGAGCCCTTTCAGAGCTACATATTTATAAATCTGTGAAAATGAATATATTTATAATTCTTGCTCACATATGTTAATTTATCCACATTCACAC